AATCTATTATGAATATCTACACACATATTAAGGAATGCTGTAACTTACCTAGCTACAAAGCTTTAACCATCATTGTAAATAAATAACTACTACATAAAGTTCAGATCCCCTGAATAGACTATGAAGTGAAATAAGCTTAATATAAAACCAGAGCCAAAAACAATTACATCAACAGGTTCTCTGTGCCTCACCGACCACACAGCCATATCTACATAAACATCACACAAACAATATGCATCACACAAACATGAGTGTGGATCACTGCGTTCCCTCCGTTATATAATCCTATCCCGCTTTCTGAGAGCAGTATTATTGAAATAGTATAATTTTGGACAGTATCTTTGTTAAACTGCCGCTCTGTAATGGTACTGAATGCAGTCCAACAGCGATGTTGACCGCCCCAAAATGGCGGCGCCATTGACGTGCCTGGCTGGACCCAACGCAGCATCTAGGTATGTATATCTATGGCTTTAGCACTTAACTTCAAAAATTGTCACAATGTCTAGAAAGTGTGTGTTCAACCTGTGAGGGCTGGAAACACAAGTCTTCAACAAGACGAAGCCAATAAGCAAAAGGTGGGATGCTGTTACTGCATGAAGAAATTTGACCTTGGAAATATGGGTGAGTCTGCACTGAAAAGCCAAGCGAAAGGAGGCAAACATGAAGAAAAGCAAAAAAGCCAATAGAATTTTTATTGACTGTTTCCAGGAAAACAGCAGCTCATGACCATGACAGCGAGCAGTGGATTCAAGAGCCAGTGGATTAGCCACGGGGAGTAGCCTAGCGCTATGGGCAGCGAGAGCTCATGTTTTCTCAGAGATACTGCTAGCATTTCAGCACTGGCATTTCAGCACTGGCATCAATGTCTTCATACATGACGTTACTACATGTTAATACATGTTAATAAATGTTAAGCAGCTACCTTCTTCTAGAAGCCCTTTGTAGCCTCATGTTGACAGTACATATTTCTCTGGTGGTCTTTGCAAGCAGTCAGTAATTAAAAATCACTGTATAACAGTTTATATTAGATTTAAATCAATTTTGCTCTGGATATTCCATACTGGAGTACTTTGGAGTTTTTTGGTACTACGCAAGTCTTGGAATTTGAAAATGGTTAAAGTGTATGGCTGAGTATGCTGAGTAATGGGGGGCAGCCCCCTTTTAGGCTTTATTTTAAATGTAAATGAAAGCAGTTCAGTATGATTCTCCTCCCAAAAAACACAGTCCAAATGATTGATACATTCAGCAAACATACTGTAGCCTTTAGAATCAATGAACCAAATATATCCAGTGGACTGTAACATTGTTAAGTGTTTTAATCAAACATGACCAAGTCTTCTACCTCTGTAAATAGAGTCCAAATATCTTATTTATGCTTTGACAAAGTATTAGAATTGCAATAAACTGAAGAAAATAAAATTAGATTTTAATGAATGTGCATAGAGCCAAGGGACCATGGAGGACACTGTGCTTCCAAAGTTTACCCAATGACAACATCCTGAAAACAACTATAGGGACACTTTAGCTCATGTATTATACAAACGTCTGGCCTTAACTCGAGCTGCACTATGTGTCCAAAAGTTTGTAGATACCTGCTTATCAAAGATCGAGAGCATTAACAGAGTGTGTGTCCCCTTTTGCTGCAGTAACAGCCTCTACTCTTCTTGTAAGGCTTTACGCTAGATTTTGGAACATTGCTGTGAGGATTTGATTGCGTTCAGCCACAAGAGCATTAGTGAGGTCAGGTACTGATGTTGTATGATTAGTTCTGGATCACATCAGCTCATCCCAAAGGTATTGGATGGAGCCCCATCTCTCGAGAGGAAACAGTTCCACTGCTACACTCCTGGAGAGCTATATACCCCTTTAGCTGACACTCAGCTGGCGTTGGACATGGTGTCCTTACGCTCATGTGCAGCTGCTCCAGAGCGTCCATTCCTTTTAATTATCCTTTTCTATGGAGATTACACAAGCTGTGAGTGCACAATTGACACCTGCATAATGCATCGTAAAGTAGCTGAATTCACCAATTAGTGGGGTGTCTGGATACTTTTGGACATACTGTGATATACATTTACAACTATTTAATAACTTATATATTACAGTAAGATGACTAATAATTGTTAAAACCATACAGTATACATGTCTTTCTGAGTCTGCTTGAGTACTGATACATAATGATATTTTAATTAAATTACAGTTGAGCTGTCAAAGTGCATCACTCTCAGCAAGCAGGTGATATTAGTAGTGCTTGAGACAATATCGCCATCTAGTTGTAGAAAATGGCAACACATGCTTACAATCAATCTGTGCACCCAGAATAAAGCACAAAAAGCGTGATTTGGGAGGAAGATTTCTATATCAAAGCTGTAGTCAGTGACGGAGGGGGAAATTACTGAAGTAACTGTGCTTTGTTATTGTAGTTAAGTAGTATTTTCAAAGATATGTGCTGTACTAGAGTGTTAGATCTTCAAAGTATTCATAACAAATCTCAATAATTTTGAACATTTTAGAGTTCCTGCACATTTTCTTTTTTTATTCACTTCAGTGTAAAATGAACTACACTTTTAGTCAATAGGGTGTCATATAGTGTTAAAGAAGTGTAACAGTAGCAGTGCTGTTTGGATGCTATATAAAACCATTTTGTTAAAAGGCATTATAAACAACCATGTACAACTCCAGCATGAAGAAGAACCATTCAAGGACACAAAGAACCAGGTAAGCATTCAAATATATATATTTTAGTTATTATGTTTCCATATATTACCATTTTTTTTTACTAGAGAATCACTGAAGAATATTGTCTTGTGCAAAAGTTTGGGCACCCCTGGTCAAATGATGTTTTGTTGATTTTCTAAGTGAAAATAAGTTAACATATCACTTAAGCACATTTTAATGCACAATTACTGTTTATATACTGAATTTAACATACTGGAAACGAATCGTAAAACGTGAAATTAGCCATTTTATATTTTATGATTTTTGAATATGTTAAATTCAGTAAATAAAAAATCCCCCCCCAAAAAAAAATTAAAAAGGTGCTCTAAAATGTGCAGAAAAATGCCATATTTTTTCCCTGTAGAGGTTGTGTTAGCTTATTTTACAAAGCATACTGTGAAATATACACACAGACACCCAAGGAATATTGTTTAAAGCTATTTATCTTAGCTGTGTGTGTTTTATTTGAGTAAATACAGTAAAACAAGACACCAATGTTTTGTTGTTGTTTTTAAACAAGTTATGAACACATTGATTAGAAGAACACGGGTTTGGCTCCTGACTTCTCTGTGAACTCCAGCTATTGCAAAGATTTGTCAAATTCCATCAACAGCACCTAATTTAATATAATGAAGGACTGATCAGGGCACTGGATGGTTACTGTAAATACTGAACTTCTTGAATGAGAGGTTAGGAAAGATAACACACTCAGACATCAAGACACGTCGCTCATCAGTTGATTCAGTTCAAGCTTTCTGTCACCCCTTTGAAGCGCTATCCAGCGAAACATACTGATAATCTGCCCTTACTGCCATCTATGCAGTTACAAAGTAGGTGGCGCATTACTGCATATGTTTTGGTGCTCCTCTGCCACCTCTAAGCTCCAGTCTAGAGCAGCCTCAGTTTTATATAATGCACTGGGTCTCAGTATAAGGGCTTCACCCTCTTTGTTTCTCTTAACTGATGACTCCCTTCTACACTGCAGATTTTTTCCTGACTCACAGCTGCTAAAAAACTGTTCTATAAGCTGGTGGTCCACTGGCGCTCTGCTCAGCGTTTTCTGGGTGGCCCACCAGTGGTGAAGCAGAGTATTAGACAAAATTCCACTTATTGTTGCTCATTTTCCACTCGCAGTCCAATTTTCTTATTTTTCCTTCCTCCTTTATTTAGTTATACTTTGTAAATTAGTTTTTTTCTCCTCTCAGTTATCTGTAATATTTGTCTTTTATTTTACAAAATAAAAGTCTCTGTGCACTTAAAATCTGTTTGGAGAGATTAAAACTAGTTAGAGCTTGTATGCAGGACAGTAATCTGGGTGGTCCGAGGGTGGACCAGCAGTGGCAAACAGTGAGTGGGGTGCCAGCCTTTTCAAACCGGTGAACCGATGTATGCTCGCTGTCTGGGGCACTGAGCAATTTGTTAGCTATGTAGCTAATTCTAATGTTTTTAGCATGTATGCCAGCAGAATGAGAGTTTTTCTGCTTATATTTCCTCTGTGGTGATGAACATGTAGCTCTGTTTGACTCCACACATACTTTTGTGTAACTGTAGACATTTGTCTGAGTCTATTGAGTCGACAGTACAACCAGTCTTAGCCACTGTGTCAGTGAACATAGCTAACAAGTGAGGTGGCCAATCGGGCAGTTTGGCTTCTTTAGGCTTGTATTGAAATAGTTGCAAAAGATTGATGACAATTGAATCATTAAACACAATTATTGAACAGACAGTTAATCGTCATTCAACATTTCATTATTGTAACAACCCTAAATACAAAACATGAGAGCTCATACACCGAGATTCAGAGAGATACAGGCAAAACTGTGGATGTATGGTCTGTTATTCGTTTCATCTGAGAGCTATATTGTTTTTTGGATCATTATCGTTGATAATGATACATGAAATTGACACACACTGCATTATTATAACAGTTAGTGTTACTGTAGACGATATTCATTGTGGCAGCAATTATTCTTATTATAATCATGACTGCATTCATTATATCTTCTCTCTTGATATTGTCATGTATATCCTTACAAGACTGTTATTTTATTTTATTTTATTTGTTAATGCTAGCTCGTCCCAGTGTCAGCTTCATCCACATAAATGAAAAAACAGCTGTTCACAAAAAATCTCAGTGTACAATGTAGAAAAATCTTTCAGAAACATTAAAAAAACACTGTCCATTGGGATTTTTGTGAGGCACAAACAGACACGTGGAGAAGAAGAGCAGGCTACACATATTCCCGTTGTAGGCTGTTTAAGGATGAGTCGAGGGGGGCTGTTCCCTGACCCGCCCCCCCGCTGTAATTCCCCGTATGTTTGAACCCTTGCCGGTGGAGTGACTGAGCTCGCGGCTCTCTGCAGGGAGCTGTAGCCGGGGACCATGCGCTCTGTGTGGGGTTTAGTGGCCGTGGTGGCCGCCGCCACCTTCTACCTCTACCTGCTGTCCGCCTTTCTGCCGGCCGCTCCGCCTCGAGCCCTGCAGCCCGGAGCAGAGGGACAGGAGCGCGAGGAGCTCGAGGAGCGCAGGTGAGCTACTCACAGCGGCCGCGCGCGCTCAGGAGATGATAGGAGCGTTTATAGTGAGGGGTCACTGCTCCGTTTGGGTCGCAGAAGAAAGCCTCGGTTCTTACTGGCAGTGTGGAGTACAGAGTTGTTGGAGATGGCAAAGCTGGCGGCCCGCTGGTGGTTAAACAGAGTATTAGACAAAATTCCGCTTATTATCACTCATTTCCACTACAGTTTACTTATTATTCCTTCATTCTTTTCTTCAGTTATACTTTGTAAATTAGTTTAGTAAGTTTAAAAGTACTTGTGCATTAAAGTGCGTTCTCTGTGTGTGTATATATATATATATATATATATATGTATATATATACATATATGTGTGTGTGTGTGTGTGTGTGTGTGTATGTATATATATATATATATATATATATATATATATATATATATATATATATATATCTCGCTGTTGTCAGAACAAAACCTTGTATAACTTTACAGGAGAAGGAAAAACCTACTTTACTTTTAAAGTAAGTCAATGGAACCCGACTTTTTTTCCAAGTAATTTTGATCTGTTTCTTTTGGTCCATTCCTCATGAAATTTACACATAATGTAAAGGACAATAGGTACTTTCAAATTAGGTCAAAAACTGAAAAACAGTTACACACGCATATACACACATACATGTGTGTGTATATGTATGTCCAAAAGCTGAAAGTTCTGGTCAGTAAGCATTTATTTACCTTTATTTACCTCTATTACAGTAAATACAACTAATATTAATACAGTAAGTAGTGATTTTTTAGTAGTGATGTGCAAAACTTTAGTCATGGAAGCCCATCATTAATTAGTTGTATTGGTGTGCTGATGAGGACCTCACAAATTTACGTGCTCTGGAGGCGTCCAGAAGAAATCTGGAGCCAAACTTTGTTCATCAAACCAGCTTACAGTTCTGTGCAAAGGTCTTAGGAACCTAAGCACATTATTATGTATATATACTAATCTACGGTCTTATTCTTTTTATCAGCTTCCATTAAGGTATATATGCACTTTGTAGTTCTACAATTACTGACTGTAGTCCATCTGTTTCTCTGCATAGTTTTTTAGCCCCCTTTTACCCTGTTCTTCAATGGTCAGGACCCCCACAGGACCACCACAGAGCAGGTATTATTTGAGTGGTTGGTCATTCTCAGCATTGCAGTGACACTGACCTGGTGGTGGTGTGTTAGTGTGTGTTGTGCTGGTACAAGTAGATCAGACACAGCAGTGCTGCTGGAGTTTTTAAGATCACTATGCGCAGTGCCAGGCGTCAGCTGGAGTAGTGTAAAGCACACCACCACTGGACTCTGGAGCAGTCTAAACATGTTCTCCAGTGTGATGAGTCATCGTTCACTGTCTGGATGTCTGATGGAAGAATCTGGGTTGGCGGATGCCAAGAGAACGCCACCTACCGGTAAATGCATAGTGCCACCAGTAAAGTTTGGTGGAGGAGGGATAATGGTCTGGGCTGTTTTTCAGGGTTTGGGCCCTTTGGTTCCAGTGAAGGGTATTGTTAATGCTGCAGCACACAAAGGGACAATTTAGACAATTATATGCTTTTAACTTTGTGGCAGCAGTTTGAGGAGGGTCCTTTCCTGTTTTTGCATGACTTCGTCCCTGTGCACAAAGCGAGGTCCATAGTTTGATGAGTTTGCTGTGGAGGAACTCCAGTGGCCTGCACAGAGCCCTGACCTCAACCCCACCCAACACCTTTGGGATGAATTGGATCGCTTTTTGTGAGCCAGGTCTTCACATTCAGCATCAGTGTCTGACCTCACAAGTGCTCTCTTGACTGAATGGGCACAAATTCCCACATACTCAGTCCAAAATCTTGCGGAAAGCTTCCCAGAAGAGTGGAGGCTGTTGTAGCTGCAAAGAAAGGGGCAACTGCATATTACTGCCTATAGTTTTGGACCAGTTTTAGTTTTGGAATAGGATGTCCAACAAACTCATATAGGTGTGATGGCCACGTGTCCACATACTTTTGGCCATATAGTGTGTATATATTGAGTCACTACTAAGAATTATTCAGTTACTACTATTAATTCAACAATTCTACATTACACTCGTATAAATTATACATTAATACTGTGAACCTAATGTGTAAGTTATGTAGTTATGAGAGTGAGGAAATTAAGATCCTTGTGCTGCGTTTACGTTACTCCGTGTCTCACAGCAGAATTGGCGACCAACAACGTCATCCAGCAAAGTATATGTTGCTATAGTGATAGTATAATTGAATACTGGTTTTAGCCACTGGTTAATCTTTGAGCACATGCTAATGTCTCTAATAGTGTGTTTTTGATGAAGTTTGTACTTTGGTATACGTGAATGAGCATGACTGAATTTGCAACGTCCTACTATAAACATTTATCATCAGGTTTCAGAATTTTCCACATCTGGTTTATTCCACCTCTACGGCCGACAGCAAAGGTTGGGAAAATTGAGCTCTTGACAGGACGTCTGCTGATTACTGCTGTACGGTGAATTTTCCATCACTGCTCCATTGAATAGCAAGGAGTTTGCTGTTGACTGTCTGTCCTCATAATGTAAACACAGCACAGAGTTTAAGAGGTTAAAACCCTCTAAAGGTCTTCATAATGAGCTGATGAGCTGAGTCAGAAGTGTTGGATTAGAGAAAACACCAAGATGAAGCAGGACAGAGAAAGACTGTCTGTTTAAGCCTTAACTGAACACCAGGACTGCAGGGACCCGGCCAGGTTACCCTGCTGTAGAGTCAGCACTGTGTTACTTCTTACTGTACTGTCTTTCTCTCTCTTTCACGCTCTCTCTCATTCCTCTCTTTTTCACTCCTTTTCACTCTCTCCCTCTCTCTCTCATTCTTTTCTTCTCTCTCTCATTCTGTTTCACTATTTCTCCCTCTGTCTCTCTCTACCTCTCTGTATCTCTTGCTGTGTCTGTCTTTCTCTCTTTTTCTCTCTATCTCTCCCTTCCCTTCTTGCTTCCTTTCTCTCTCTCTCTCTCTCATTCCTCTTTTTTCACTCTTTTTTCACTCTCACTCTGTTTTTCATTCTCTCTCTCATTTTCTTCCTCTCTTTCTCCCTCTCTCTCTCATTCTCTTCCTCTCTCTTTCTATTTCACTCTCTCCCTCTGTCCCTCTCTACCTCTCTGTATCTCTTTCTTCCTCTCTTTTTCTCTTTATTTCTCCGTTGCTTCCGTCTCTCTCTCTCATTCCTCTCTTTTTGCTCTTTTTTCACTCTCACTCTGTTTTTCACTCTCTCATTTTCTTCCTTTCTTTCTCTCTCTACCTCTCTCTCTCTCCCCCCTTTCTCTCACTCTCTTGTTCTCTTTTTCTCTCTCACCTTTTCTTCAGTCATTTTCTTCCTGCCTCTCTACTCCATTCTATCACTCTGTCTTTCTTTTTTCTTTACTTATTTTCCGCGGTCAGTTGTCAGTAGTAATAGATAGCCGTGAACATATCCAGTAAACGGCAATGACAACATCTGTGGTCGTTCATTATTACGTCTGGCATCATAACTGTCTCTATTTCTCTGTCAGCTGATCTGCCATCGAGGCGTTTAGTGGTGTGTTCCTGCAGAAATTCATCACCTGCTTATAGAGTGGACTGTGTGTGGACGGACAGGGAGATTCAGTGAGATGTTTATCAGACTTGTAGTACATAAACCGTTTAACACTATCTGTTTGGACAGTAAGTGGTGATAGGAGGTGTAACAATGCACATTTTCAGGTTTCCTTTTCTTAGGTCAAAACTCGATTTGTTTTTTTGACATCTGTTTACAAACTACATCATTTTTTTTTATTTAAATAATGAGGAAAATGTGGCTGTAGAGAGAAGGAGGTGCAGATATGTGTGTATGTATAGATGGACAGAATGAAAAGAAGGATATTCTAGAATGTTATTCTAGTGGTGATGATGCTCAGCTCAAATCCTGAGGAACATTCTGCTCCTCAATCCACTCGTCATCTCTGTCACTTTATCCTCAATGGCTCTCACTCACTTTTGGACTCTCAGTCTTGCAGTCACTGGGTCACATGTTGTCACATGTCATGACTCATATTGAAATGCAACCCACAAACCATGTATTAATACATCTTGTGTCTGCCGACATATAATTCTATACCACACACATCTTTTTGGCTCTGATCAATAATAGTCCTCAAACTGAACCTTACTGATGCCTGATTCGACTCTCTCTAGCAAACTAAATCCCAAAAATCACAACCCCTAGAGCAGCAACTACCTTCCTGCAGAGCCTAAGGGTTTATGCTGCTGATTGTAACACCTCTGACACGCCCATCAAACAGGACCAAACGTGCCTCAGCACCTGTTGCACTCTGTTTCACACCGTTTCGATGAAACATGCTGTTCAACCTGAAAACCGTAGCAAAACAGTGCGCAACATTAAGAGACTGAATGTGCCCCTGATGTATTAGGGCAGGGGTCGGCAACCCAAATGTTAAGAAGAGCCGGTTTTTCTTTTCAACAAAAACCAAACCACCTTGGGAGCCACAACATTTTATGTCCACTTTACCATCTTGGCTGTAAATGTGTCTCAGTATGTACTAATGTAGTAGTACAGGCTAAAAAATATAAACCAAAATGCAGACTTACTTTGCTCTGCTTTAAGCTTTAGCTCAGCTTTTTTCACATTTCTGGCACAAAACTTTAAAGTAAAAGCAAAAGTTGGACAGTTTATTGCAAAATGTCTCTTAACGTTCTACTTTTTACGAGGCCGAATTCAGCTTTTCATTTGCCCAATTCTTGTGCACATTTTCCTGTTCCACCTTAAATGGTGCCTGAAGCGGCAGAATGTAATTGCCGCAACATTTAAGGTGGAACGGGAAAGTTCGAACGAGACGCTGACTTCAGCTTTGTGACTTTTCAGTTAAAACTGTGTTAGAATGACCAGCAGAGCTTAATTACTGCAACAGGGCAGTAAAAGAGCTGCACTTTGCCGAACGCTGTATTAGAGTTAAGTAAGGGGTGGGATAGCTTATTGAG